CAAACCAAGCGCTAAGGGAGCTGGCGCCGCGGTTCCCAGCAGCCTCCACGCCGTGAAACCGCTTTCTCTGGCGGTGCCCGTAGTTCCTCAAAGTGTCAAATCAGACGCTGACCACCCACAGCCGCCCCGATGCAGCCCTTGCTCATCCTCCATGTTCATTAGCTCAGTCACCCCGCCCCTGCGTGGGGCGGAGCATGGAGGTGAGGCTGGGGCCCGAGGGCTCCACGGAGGAGACCTCCTTGGACTCAGCTGACACCCGCTCCGACCTGGTTAACGATCTGTTCTCTCTGCTTCCTCCCCCGCCCCCCGCCCTGCCCCCTCCTGTGGACCCTCTGCCTCTGTGGACCCTCCGGGGCCGGCGCAGCGGGCGCATCACTTACAGTGACATGTTTGAGATGCTGAAGCACATGCCCCCGCCCCTGGGGCTGGGGAAGCGCTGCCCCGCGCGAGTGGCCTACAAGGTACCCGCCTGCTCCTCCCTCCGGGGCTTGTCCGTCCGTCCGTCTGCCACTCTGCTGTCTCACTGTGTCTGCCTTTGCCCCGCCATCTCCCCTCTTTCCCAGAGGGACCCTGCCCTCCGAGGTCCCTGCACCACCCCTTGTACCCAGAGCTGCCCCTGGGCCACGGGAGACTCGGGAAGAGAGACCCCGCCCCCTAGAGTGAGGGGGGACCGGCTTCTGGACAGGCTCTTGTTTTTGTTGTGTTTTTATTGTGTAAAGAATTACAAATAGCAGCACAGGTGTCTCCTTTTTTTCCCAATCGACCTTCCCCAGCCTCCCCTTCCCCTCGGGTCTGATGTGCAGGGAGAGGGACTCAGGGCCTCAGGCACCTGGGAGACCCCCGCCCCACGCCCACAGGATGTCCAGGCCCCACTGCAGGGCCTGGGAGGAGGTGGGGACAGGGCCTCGAGGGCACCAGGGACAGGCATCCTGCAGGGGGGCACAGCTTCGGGGCACAGGAGCCCTGTGACCTCCCCCCGCAAGGATGCTGTGCAGCAGGAGGGGGAAGCTAAAGGACCTTCCTCACCCCCCACGCCCCGCCCGAGCCTGCTCCCACCCCACACACCCATCCCCCTCCTGCTCCTCCGGCCCCACCCGCACACCCAGCGTGTGGGGGCCCTCCGGCCGTCACCCTTTCTCTGAGCGAGTTCCCACCAGAGCTTCCTTGTCCGTCTGGTCTGTCAGTCACGCTGTCTGTCTCTGTGCTCTGGGTCCAGCCTGTCTCCTGGCTCAGCTGCTCCCACCACGGTCGTCCCCCCCCCGGCCCCCCGCCTGGCATGAGCGTCGCCCACCTGCAGGCCCTGCATGCAAGACCCTGGCTTTGTCCCCAGAGGAGAGCTCTGTCCAGAGTGACAGCAGGGCCTGGGCGGCCGCAGGGCTGCC